ACATGGAAAAAGTCTACCTCGACCGAAAGGGAGTAAAAGTCCCAGAAATCGAGTGAGACTTGGACTTTTGTAAGGAATTTTCATGGGTCACTCTTGTTCTTAATATAAGTTCTTTAGAATTTCTCATATCGTTTTTCCTGGATTAGCATCTTGAGGATCTCACGAGGTGGCTTTAAGTGATAGGGGATTGAAACTAAACCTAAAGGCTTATCATTCTGGGCTTCAAAGCTAAACTACCAACCTTACCTTGAGAAACCTATTAGGCCTGAGGAATGAATGGGACAACATGCTTTGAAAATGAAAATCCATTCAATCGGGGCTGTGGAGTAATTCCTTTCTCTATTGAACTTAAGCTTTTTGATGAAGTTATCAATATATGAGAGATCAAATAAAGTCTTTAAGTCTCGCCACAACCCTCGGAAACTATATGTGCTTGCTTAGTCTTTGAAGATAAAATGAATCCAATTTGCATTAACTAGATCTTTCTATCACAATTAACCAGGCTAAGAAATTTGCTGAGACACCTAAAGACTCCCCCGATTTTATGCTCTTGGATCTTCCCCTTTTCTTTTTTTTTTTTTTTCTTTTCTTTTTTTTTTTTTTTTTAAGTGAAGCCCAAGCCCAAGGAACATGCTAATGAACTCCTCCTGTTCAACAGTTATGCGAGCCAAGGTCAAATTTTGATGTCTTGAGCTTTACAGTGTATTATTTTGTCAGCACTAATTTATGTGATAATCGAATGATGTAAAACATTCAGAATGAAAATATCAGAATCTTGACTTGCAAAGGCGCATGAGCATGTTAGATAGAAAGCTGAAGTTGTATTGAAATTAAAATCATCGAATATAAACTGACTAAAAATATCAGAAAGAATAAACTTGATTTCAATTATAGACTTTTATTGTGGACATTCCATCTATTGATACCTTAATTATCTTAATATAAATTTATAATGTATTAGGATGTGAAATAGAAATTTAGGATATTGCATTTTGGTATGTTCTTCATTCTTTGTGTCATCACTGCATGGCTGCATTTATGACTGATTCGCTGTACTAATATATTTCATCATCATTATTTATTTATGTGGCTAAAATTATTAATTGTGATCTATTTAAACTCTGACTTGTGTGCTAATGATATTTACTACTAAGTGAGCATAAGAAATAAGATTGATATAGTGGCTGGTATCATATGAGGTGCTAACCAGTTTTGGATGGCTTTTTTCTTCAAAAGGTAATAGGGACACAGCACTAAATTAAGGTGGGGAATAGGATGCTTTTGGTGCTGGAATTTGATTAGACTCTGAGGATTAAACCAGCAGTTATGAGAAAAAAGATTAAAGGTACAAATGAGTCCCTGTCACAGTCAGTTTTTAGTAATCCAAGGAAAGGATTGGTACATGTTAGCCTTCAAATTTATTCTACCCCGACCATTATTTGAACAGAAAATACTTCTGATATTAAATGAGTAATGAGATAGGGGTGATTGATATTTCTGTTTGAGAAAATCCTTAAGGGTTCAGTTGTTGCCGGTTCAACGGATATGCAAATTTGGTTTAGAATGGTGTGACACAGTTTGGTAACTATCTAATGTAGTTAATGATGCAACCCAAAAAGAGTGGGACTCCATGGCTTTTCGGTATCATCTGGAGACTGAATTTTTTTAGCCTAACCTTGGTAAAAATACCTAGTATTGCTTCAAAAGAGTCAGATTTGAATGAAAGATCTACTTATTTGAGCTAAAACAGGCTTCTTCATAAAACTCAACACGAAGCCTCTGAGCCTTTGCACTTTTGGGCAGCTTCCATCATTTAGGGGGTTCAAATGAGCTTTTTTATTGTATTATTGGGAACATAGGTTTTTATTTTATTTGTTCTCAAAATATGGCCTTAGCGTTCTTTTCTGTTTGCATAAATAAAGTTTTCTTGGTGATGTAAAGTCAGAATCCCTAACTTATGTTACATGTGGCACCATTATCTACTGTAGACTCAAGATAGGATAAAGTCAAGAATATTTTTTCAGTCAATTCTAGCAAATTCACAAACTTTGTCATTACAACTTTCTGCAAGTACAAGCAAGCAGTAGACCATAAATGTCAACTTATGGAATTCTAGGTTGAGGATTTTGTTTGGGTAACATTGACAAAAGATCAGTTCCTGGTAGGTGAGTACAAAAGTTGGTTGAGAAGATTGGTCCAAAAGATGATTGAGAACATCGATTCTAATGCTTCTCACGTTGACAACAGTTTGATGATAAAGGTACTCCAAATTCAAGAGCAAATATTATGTACCTTGAGAAGGATGATCCAATCCAACATTTCTGTTAGGGACATCTTAAGGCCCAAATATTTTTTTAGCCCTATCGTTGATGACAACCGTGTTTCTGGTCAATGGAGTTGGATTTGGTCGAAAGACTAATTTTTCACGCAATAACTTTGAGCGAAAACTTTCAGCCCTTGCCATTTTTGGCAGACTCCATTTATAGTGTCTAAAGGACATTTTATAAATTATTCAAAAGTTAATCCATTTATTTTTGTTAATTTTTCAAAATTCGTGCATAGTGCTTATTTTTGGTTTTGTATAATCAAGTCCATTTAGGGCTAGCCTTTGAGATTTAATAAAATTCATGAGATTTTCTCCTGAGCCTTTTCAAATTTAAGTATTTTATGCAAATCAATGAATGTTTGATGCCCTTTTCTCTGGTGTTCTTGATTGAATATGCTTAGTATTGAAAGGTTGTCCATTTATGCGTTGTCTGTTCATCCACATACCTGGAGAACTTTTAATGATGGTAAAGCTGTGAAAGGATTTTCTAGAATTAATTGGATATATATATATTTCTTCCTTTTGGTTTTCTTGTATGTAATTGGTAATTATCTTTGTAATATGATAACCTTTTATGTCCTCCAAAATGTAGAGAGGCTGACGAGTACCGTCTACGAGAAGTTTGTGAGAGCTTTCTTGGACCTCCTATTGGGATGACTGAAGCTCCATCATCCGATGTAAAAACAGCAGCATGGGACCCTTATGTTCTGGTAAGGCCTTTTTGTATTCTTCCTTAATTCTTGTAGGTGTTTAAACTGGTATTTATGTTTCTGGTGTGATGTAAATTCTCTCGAAAGTTTGTTGTTGGGCTGCCCATGTCTGCATCTTCTTGTTTGCTATGTCCTTTTTAATGTTTTTCTTTTATGTGAATTTTTATTATTTGATGACAGTTTGTAACTTGTGTCTTCACAGGGAATGAACAAGCACAAGCTCCTTCGAGAAGATATTCTTCCAGCTATGGCATCAAATAGAGGAGTTCAAAGGTTGCTCAACGAGTTCATGGTTGTCCTAAATGATTATGAGATAACAAAAGCAAACTTAGAACAGAAGAATCTCGTTCATACAACAGCAGTGGCTACTACAGATGAAATGGATTCTTCCCTGCCTGCAATCGATAAAAGAATTCCTGATTCAACATTAACCAATCAAATGGACTCTGCCCAACAAGCAATAGGTCCAAGGGATCCTACCTTGACAAAAACCAACCAAACAGACTCCATTGTACCCATGAATGGTGAAATAGATACCATTTTGCAAGGTACAAATCAAGTGGAATCCATGCTACCGATGCCAGAGCAAATGAATTTGGACCCCCCTGCCTCCGAGCAAGTAAATTCAGCAGGGAAAGAGAAGGATTCTTGATCTTAGAATCGTGTTTGGTAATTAGTGATCATTGGATATACTAACCTGTTAGTAATCATTTTATGGAGTATGTATTTTAATTTTGTCCTTGGGCTTTTTGCATGTGATGCGTTCTTATCTGGGGACTCGAGAGCCGAATAGCTTCTGATTTTGTTGATATGTGTCCTGTGCAAGCTATTGAGTTCAAACTACATTCAAAGCACATCTGGTGTGTATTTCACAATTTGGAAGCTTTTGAAGACTACATGTTTTCTTGAACTGGAAAGGATGACTTGTACTATATGAAGCTAATTTTTGCCCTTTTGAGATAAATGTAAAGTTTATTGCCCATTTTTAGTGGTTATTCATTTCCAATTGGTTGTAAATTATTTTTCTTCATTTCCTGCCTTCATATTTTCTTGGAAACTACCACCATACCATATGTATGGAATTAGTTGTTTTGCAAATAAAGTGGATAGGAGCGTCGAAGTGTGAATCAATGCCAAATTTACAATGTACAAGATAAAAAGTTGGCCATAGAAGACGACCTGTTTGATTTCTACTTTTTTCAAAACTGATTTTTTCTTATATTCATTTTTAATCACGTTCTCTCAAAAATAAAAATAAAAAATAAAAACAAAAACAAAAAAAGGAAAAAAATGTTTGAATCAAAATTTTTTATTATTATTTAATCATACATTCTTAAAAAAATTCACTATTACAATACTGATTTTGACAAATGGGCGTAAAGTGGAATGTCAATGTTAGCTCCTATTTACGAAGTTTATAACACGATGTTAAAATTTAATGTTCGATCTTAAAAAATCAATTTTGTTAAGAATAGTAGTTAAAATTTTTAAATGTTGGTTAATGCTTTTATATTCGAGCAATGTAAAATTTATCCAAGTATGATATGAAAAAGTACACGGCTGTTACGAAAGAGAGGAGTTGATGCCAATTACAAAGTATGTGTCACAAAATAAGGCATCATATTTGTCTCATGTAAACATGTGCGGAGTCAGAAAATTTTTTCAATGCAACAAAATTTACAGTTAAATTTGAAGTGAAAGGATTCTCTTTATAACAGAGTAACTCGTACAACTAATTTTATGACAAAACACACTTGCCAATTCAATAATTTAATATTTTACACAGTAAAAAATACTTCACTTCCACTAATTTTTTTTCCAACAGTCCATTTTTCTCTCACTCACCATTTCTCCCAAAAATCTGTAGAATGGCAATGGACATTATTCTCCCAACCACTATTTCTCCCACCAACTTTTCTCCCAGCCACTATTTCTTACAGAATTCTTTAACTGGGCAGCGGCAACCCAAAGTTGAGTGCACTCAATTGTATATGGCTTCGCCCTTGCATGTAAATAAAGATGGATTAAATTAGTTGTACACAATTGGTGTACTTTAAGTTTGACACTATACGTGTTATCAAAATCGGTGTCATTGATTATTAAAAGTGTTGTTAAAATTAAGAATAATGTTGCTTGAACAAGGGCTTTTGACATGTACTGTTGACAATACCTGTGGGGCTCTTTTTCTTTTGCTGTTGTTCAAACTGTATAATAAATGTTTGATATTTGTCTCTTATTTTTAAATCCCGTCATTGACCCTATTTGTATAGCAATGTTGTAAAACTAATGTGTAAAAAGTTGTCACTTCACGACAATGTCAAACTTATTATCAATAGACAACAAAGATGTACATGTAGCGTAATTGAATAAAGATTCATTCTTAACCAAGACCAGCAAAGAGATTATATTAGAGAGCTTTTAATTAGTGATATTTTCATTGCAAACAAATAATACAGAGTTAACGATATAATGAGTTATTAACTAAGGCTTTCTGAGTTACCGGATTAAAGTCATAGACGATTCATATTCCAAATTGTTCATTATAAAATAATATAGCCAAAAAAAAAAATATTAATGAAGGATGAATCAGGAGTTATACAATTATTGCGAGGGCATCATCCAAACTTGTTTCTTCCATTTTCAAACTTTTGTATACGGTTAAGATATATGCGACAGCTAGAGAGAAAAAAATAAATTTAAATGGTTACCAATTAAATTAATTATTATTGTTGTTGTTATCCTCAGTTCAATTTCGGCCAAATAAAAGCTCAAATTATGATTAGAAATGTAGGATATCAAGGAGGATGAACGCATCTTTAATTTTGTATTTAAGGTAATCTTAACCAATTTCAAATTGATTAGATGGTAACTTATGAAAAACAAGCCAAATTTCAAAAAATGTAGTCCTAACTCCTGTTAAGAATTGAGATTTCATCTTAAAATGTCAACTTTATTAAGAGGAGTAGCCCAAGATTTTCTTAAATTCGTCAATATTTCGGTATTTAACTGATGTGGGATTTTTATCTCTTAACACGCCCCCGCAAGATGATAGCTCGTTTGAACAGACCAATCTTGCAATCTGTTGCTCATTAATTGAGACTTATAATCGGATCGAATCGCTCGTTGGAAATTAATGAGCTCTGATACTATGTTAAGACTTGGGATTCCATCTTAAAATGTCAACCTTATTAAGAGGTGTAGTCCAAAATCTTTTTAAATTAATCAATATTTCGATATTTAACTGATGTAAGATTTTTATCTCTTAACAACTACTAACTATACTTATCAACAATACGTCTTTATATGTACTCTTTCGGCCTGAGTTTGAGATTACTTTCAACTTACACATCATTGCTATCCGTATAATTAAAAAAATCAATAAATTTCTGCACATAAAAAATCAGTAAATTTTCAACCTAATTTTAGATTTCTATCCAACAAGAACTGTTGAAAAAATCATTACATGCAACGGATATCATTTTCTAAAAAATTTATATTCTTCGATATAAATTATAAGGTGTCAACTAATTTAATTAGCCCAACAATTTCACTTCAAAGTCCAAGAAATTTGGTGGATGCTTGGATTGAATTGGCAGTTCATCAACTATATATTAAATGATTGAATTCAATATTTATATATTTTAAAAATAGTTATTCTACAACTTGTTTTGATATGGATTGTCCAAGAACGGGAAAGAATAAGATGACATTTTTATTTCATACAATTGACAAACATAAGCTTATTTCGTAATAAATCAGCAATTTTTTTTTTTTTAATTTTTTGTTTTGGTGGCATCGAATACAGCATAATTAACTTAAAATTAAAATTAGAAAAGTTACAATTTCATTCACTATATTGTCTACTTTTATCCATTACGTGTAAATGTACTCAAAAGGCGTATAATACGTGTAGAATGGTAGGTCAGTTGTATTTATTTTTCCTGCATAAAATATAATTGATCAATTTGGAAGAAGATGACCAAACCTAGCCATAACACATTGCTTGGTCAACCCATTACTTTTTTAGGTAACCAGTAAACTCCTAACAAAAATTCAGATGATGAGACCAACTTTCTTTAAATTCTTGATCAAGTAACCGAAAAAAGAATATTCATAATCTATAGAAAGCGTCTTTCATTATACATAACTTAAAATTTTCAAGAAAACAAGTTATAAGAAGATTCTCAAATCAAAGTTAGAATATATTTATATAATAGATAGATAGATAGTAGGAAATTTAGATTGAGAAAAAAAATATATGTACTCTATTTTGGATTTTTAGACAATGTTCAATTTTTTTTATTTTTTTGAAATTTTTGACCAATATAGTCTTATTTCTTCAAAAGTTACCTAATTTCCCCATGACCTTTTTGCATTAGTTTGAACCATTTAGGCATTCTCGTCAAAATAAACAAAGTTGATGAGGATTGATAGTCCATTTAAACATTATATCCATTTGTATGATTTCGAATCGTCTAGAAATTCTCGTAAAACAAAGCAAAGTAATTACGAGAGTTTCTAGTTTATTTCTTTCTCGCCAACTTTGCCTAGATCATGACCTTAAAGATATTTCAATAAAGAGGCCTATATTAATTTGACATGATTGAATGAATATATTTGATAAAATACTTGGCGGGAGACAATTTTTATTTGGACAAAAATATTGAAATTGATAAGTTGAGAACTAGGAACATGAGCCCTTGCATGGTGACTCAATTTTATTCATTTATTTTATCAAGTTCCACCAGACACCCGTCCATGATTTTGGAGTGCGTTTGATTTTGATCGAATAAAATTTACTAGTAGACATCAATTTCAGTAAATCAACAATTTTATATTCTCTAAATTTGTGAGTATTTTCAAAATTAAATCATCATTCTCTTTATTTGAACTGCATAATATCCTATATTAGTTTAGTATCAGAGCTTTATCTACTTATCTAATTGCATGGATCTTACTCTTGCTACTGTATCTAACTTTTGTTGTGTAATTTCTCGTAGAGTCGTCCAAATCCTTGTTAAAAACCAAATTTCAAAAACACATAATAAATTTTAACGACTGTTGGATTACTCTAAATCAGGTCGGTCACTCCACCGACTATTCACCCATCTTCCAATAAATTCCTTCAATTTTCATTACAATTACAGGTCAATATTGATTAGCTGAGGGTAGGTTAGAAGCATACTGTTGTGACACATGTTCTTCGTACATATGTATCATGACTTCACAGGACAAACTCAGTGTTATCATAGCAATATAGCACGAATCCATCTATTCAACCTTTTATATCGTCTTTGTGGCATCCAAATCCTTATCTTTATCTGATCCCTACTCTGTCATACTTTTGCTGTTTCCCTCTCTTTCTCTCTTCTCTTTGTTCAATTATCTACTCGAATGGATCTGGGCAGCATTCTCCATTTTCTTGAGGACAGGTCTATTCTTGTCACTGGTGCCACTGGTTTTCTGGCTAAGAGTATTCTCTCTCTCTCTCTCTCTACACACGCACACAAAACAGTAAAGAATACTTGGTTAACGAATGTGAAATGTGGATGCAGTTTTTGTTGAGAAGATTCTTAGGGTTCAACCAAATGTGAAGAAGCTCTATCTTCTTTTAAGAGCTGCAGATGAAAAATCCGCAATGCAACGTTTTAACACTGAGGTAAACAAATACACAAACTAGAATTCAAGTTTGTCCATTTCCCATTTATGAATATTTTGCATGTTATCTAAGGAGAAAATACTCATGCTTAGAGGTAACGAGACGAGGCACGCTGAATATGAAATTTAAGCCTCTATTTGAAGCAAATTTACAAATGATATATAAATTCAGTCATTATTTCAACGTCATATTCATAACTACTACACATTATTCATGCCTTTTATGGAATCCACCACTATTTTTTTACTATTCTTATTTATGAATCATTTGCCAAACAGAGGCTAAGTAACTAAAGTCTACTCTCTAAAGCTTGACCAAGAATTTTATTCAATATTTATAAAAGTTTCACATCTATAGGTGATAGCAAAGGATTTGTTCATGGTTCTTAAAGAGAAATACGGGCGAAATTTAAATTCTCTTATTTCGCAAAAAATTGTGGTTGTACCTGGTGACATTACCTGCGAGAACTTGGGAATCAAAGATAGAGATTTGTTGGAGGAGATGTGGAAAGAAATTGATGTTGTAGTTAATCTAGCTGCCACTACAAACTTCGATGAAAGGTATATATATCGGCTTCCAACTTCTTATTTTTTAATTAGCCCTATTTGGTAGGAATTTAAATAAAGAGTTTAATTTAATTGTCAAAGTCAACAATTAATTTTAACAACATTTTCATGAGATCCATAACTTTTTTATCATATATTTCATTTGCTTTTGCCAAAATTTACAAAAAAAAATGATTTTAATTTCTACCAAGGGGCTAAATTTCTTTCACAACATATAAATAATACAATAATGCTATAGAGACGGGCTCAAAAAAGGGTAAAAAAGGGTGGACACGTGTCAAAGCATGATTGGACACTTTGGGAAAAAAAAAAAAAAAAACTGCCAACCAATTTCTGCTAAATCAGCCTGTCCTTCGATTCCCTGTTTTTGGCTTCATTCAAATAAGGAAGTGAAAGAAATTGTACATTTTCATCTTTTGCAGATATGAGGTTTCACTTGACATTAATACATTTGGAGCTATGCGTGCTTTGAGTTTCTCCAAAAAATGTTCCAAATTAAAGGTTCATATTCATGTATCAACAGGTTAGTACATATTTGTGCTCAAGAGAAGTGTTGAGGACTTTCGTCTCTATGACTTTCAAATTTGAATAAAGTTGGCCCTGTTCAACAAGCAAAGCCCTTAAAATTTTAGAAGACGAATTGAGCAGTAACTCATTTATTTCACCTTTTTTAAGTTTTCGATCGTCATTTTTTTCTCAAATTTCTTAATTTGGTAAAAAATTATAAATGGTTTATAAATATGATTCGTAAGAAGAATAATAGCGCTTTCCATGAAATATGTGAATAATAATGAATAGCAATTACGAACGTGTGGTTAAAATTAATATTTAACTTTGACTTAATTTATAAATTTGTATCCAAATGGAAAAAAATAAAAAGTTCATGGTAGTTCGAAATCCTAAATTCATGTTAATCTTGAAAAGATCTATATCATGATCAGACCGTTTTTTTTTTTAACCTATATTAATAGAATTGTTTGACTTCTTAAAAATCAGGCAGGAAATTTGACCTTTGAAGGGTTTATTAAAATGATGAAAAAAAAATAAAATTCTTGAAGACTGAAGAAATTTCTAAAAACTTCATGGATAACGAAAGGAACCAGCCTTGACATTAAATTAGATCAACATTGCATATATTAATTTGTTGCTTCAGCAAGGTTTCTACTTATAGGTGTTTTGCGTACATTTAGACACAAATTTCACTGATGATTTATAAGTTGACAGTTGTTGAGTACGATGCTTGCATTGTAATAAGTCTTATCTTTTGTTGTCGTTTTACAGCGTACGTTTGTGGTGAGAAAGAGGGACTCATATCTGAGACTCCATACTACTTGGGCGAGACACTTAATGGGATAAGTGGACTCGATATTGATAGAGAGAAAAAAGTGGCGGAGGAAACTTTGAAGCAGCTAAGTGTTGAAAATTCTTCACAAGAATATATTAAATCAGCCATGAAAGAATTGGGGATTCAAAGGTTTGATCTAATGTCACTTGTTCCATTTAATTTTATACTTTGAAAAATTCCATCACCTGCAGAGCCCTTTATATCACCACCTTGATTTAACAACAATTTGGTCCAACCTACCAAAATGTATGAAAAATTATCCAAATAAGTTAGCTGAACTACCCTTTATTTTCTTGCCAAGCATTGGTCATTATCCATAATAATAATAATAATAATAATAATAATAATAATAATAATAATAATAATAATAATAATAAGATTAAAAGAATTCCATTTGACTTGAGAAAGCAATTATTTTATTATTGCATCTATATGGTCGATATCATAATTATATTCACAGAGAGTAGATTTTACTATTTTTACAAGAGAGCATCCTTCGGAAAGGCAGCTATCTTTTTAAACATTGACGGAGCGACAGGGTGGAGGTGGCAATTGCTCCCGCAACATTTTGAGTCTCCTATTATTTTTATAGAAAAAAGCCTCCTGTTCAGGGTTGGGGGACAGGTGGCGCCCCTATCGCCCCACCCTGGACGAGAAGCAGAATTGAATTTTATATCGGTTGCGTGCGACCCATACTATGGGAGTCATCATGCCTATTAATGCAAGAAGAATAACCTTAGAACACTTGGTTTCTAAAAACTAGAGCTTTTTTTTTTTTTTTTTCTTCGTGTAAAATTATTAATTACTTTATAAGACGAATGATGACAGATCCCATAAAATGTGTGGATAATAAATGAATACTAGTAATTAATATGTGATTAAAATTTATATTCGACTTTGATTAGATAGAAAAACGGATTTTTAGCAAAGCCAAACAGTGGCTTTATTAATCAGGTTTCAATTACTTTTTTATAATTTCATATATGCTGTATCAGAGCAAGGAAATATGGATGGCCAAATACCTATGTTTTTACAAAGGCAATGGGAGAGATGCTGTTGGGGCACATGAAAGAAAATATGCCCCTCGTCATCATTCGTCCTACAATCGTAACCAGTACGTACAAAGAGCCCTTCCCGGGTTGGGTCGAAGGGATCAGGTAATTTATTTCCCATTTCATTTTTCATTGTGTTTTATTTTCTATAGACATTGGAATATTAGACTTTTGACTTTTTTTCTTTTCCATTTTCTTGTAACAAATTAATGTTTACGATTTCGCAGAACCATTGATAGCTTAGCTGTTGGTTATGGCAAAGGAAGAATAACATGTTTCCTTGGTGACACCAACACCATAATTGACTTGGTAAGTATTCTACTCACAAAGTTTCGAGCTGCTCGAGAGACACTACACTTGGGATTGTTCCTAGAAAGAATAAAAATACAGAGATAAGTGAAATTATTATTTATTCTGAAAACTATGCAGATCCCAGCAGACATGGTGGTGAATTCAATGATTGTAGCCATGGTAGCTCATGCAAATCAACCAAATGAGACCATATACCATGTTGGATCTTCTGTATCAAATCCTTTGACATGTACAATGTTTCAAGAATATGGCCACCAATACTTCACCAAGCACCCCTGGATCGACAAGGAAGGCAAACCTGTCATAGTTGGCAAGGTCAAAGTGCTCAGCACAATGGATAGTTTCCGATCATACATGACGATTCGCTACTTGCTCCCATTGAAGGTTATTTTGTTCAGCCAACTTACTATTTATCTTCTCTAGTATTTGGTCATCTATAAGGATTTTTGTCTTAACCCAGTAACCCTCCTCCTCTGTTTGGTCTTGCTTCAGTAATCATCTGAATATATCCTTTTGTTTGTTGTTGTCCTTTAGGGATTGCAATTAGTGAACGCAGCTTGTTGCCAATACTTCCGGGGCGAGTATCTTAATATGTACAGAAAGATCAAATATGTTATGAGGTTGATTGATCTCTATCGACCTTATTTGTTCTTCAAAGGAGCGTAAGTATCTTTCATTTCTATTTCCTTATCGTGAAAAATGTTTATTTTACTACGGACGTGCTTACGAAGGAGTTAATTGAAACATGAACCTTGTTTTCTTTCTGTAGCTTTGATGATATAAACACAGAAAAACTGCGAAGGGCAGCAAAAGAAAGCAACGTTGAGACCGATATGTTCGACTTTGATCCCAAAACCATTAAGTGGAATGACTATTTCATGAGCATTCACCTTCCAGGAGTAGTGAAATACTTATTCAAATAACTTGAACTTGTAACAATTGCCATTAGAGCAAATTTATTACGTTACTCAGATTCTTCATTTTATTCCAAGTGATCATTTATTATAGGCATAGCAACTGGATTTGTTAAATTTGGGGATTTCAAACTGTATTCATGTATGTTATAAAACTGGTTCTTGTTTTCAAGTACAATTCTTTTACTTTATTCTTTACTTCAGTTTTTTTTATGAATTTTTCGATATACACGAGGCACGTCTAAGCTCTAACATATATCTGGACTTGGTTGACAGAAACAAGTTTGCTGATCTTTGCCCCAACCCAAAGATATAAGATTTCTTCTGAGTCTTGGAACACATCTAACATTGTTAAGAATTCTTTCAGCACCATCATGAGTTTTAATTTTGATAGTGCCTATGCAAAGATAGAAGATAGAATCATCATCAACTTTTTGAAGGCCCCTCTCACAAACATGTGCCAGAGGTTTGACAATTCAGTATCAGGAGATAGGAGGTTGGAAAGATGCAGCAATTCCAGTCATCGTGCCGCCTTGCAAGACATAGATGCCATTATGTCTTGTTCCCTTCATTACACTCCCTTCAAGTTGGTAGATATCTCTAATGTCAATTTATCAAGTGAGCTAAATAATATCTGCAAGTTGGTCTTCGGACTTGACAAATCGAAATCAAATTATCTTGGCTTTAAGATTTTGCTTGATGATATTCGATCTACCTCCATGTCCTCAGTACAATCATGTTGGACTGGATAATGATAAATATCAATGGGTGCTCCATTGTGAAAAATTAAGTTCATCTCAGAGCTCGGAGTAAAACCAATCTCAGTTAGCTTTGTTTTGAGCCATAAAAGCTCACGAAGACCTTTAGCCATTCTTCTTAACTCAACGTCAATGTTGGATAATATACCTTTTACTTCTTACTCCTTCAAGTGATCAGATTGCCTTCTACAAAGGTAAGTAGCTGTTGGGCATCTACTTATCATGCGCAACGAAAAATTAAAATATATTTCAATTCCTACCAAGGATCTGCTTTGTGTTTAGATAGTAATTGTGATAGAAATTGTACCTTTTACAAAATCTGCAAACTCCTTTACTATTCTTTCGTTTCAAAGATCTTGATTCACCATTCACAGCTATCCAATTGTCTAACCTCCAACGGTGATCCACACAGAGAACAAAATTGTAGGATTATGATTTTCTTCTTGTACTAGAAAGAATAATGAATTCTCTACAAATTTTGAAAATCCTAGTCATATTTATATAAATCCAAACGGGTTTGTCATGATCCGATCTAATATTTAATTAACCTATTTAATTAAATTCGGTTCATGAATTAATCCATTTAATTAATTTAGGCCTATAAATAAGCTACCCAATTAATTAATTTATCCAACGCTTGTTAAATTAATTAATTGACAACTCACAATCTTCCAATTCTTATTTTCTGTGCCACCCATCAAGTTCACTATCATGATACCTAACGACGTGAAGTATTATTTTGATTTAAACAAAATTGATAAATTAAAACATCCTTTTAAATCATCACCAATTCACACTCATTGTCCCGAATTGATATCTAACAATGTGTCAGGGCAATACACGTGATGGAAAATATCACGTGGTATGACAAAATCAAACTCTTTCATTTTATCGTGAAACTATAATCCCTTTGTCAATATGATTCGATCAATTACGAGATATGAAAGTGTGTCAATNTCAAACTCTTTCATTTTATCGTGAAACTATAATCCCTTTGTCAATATGATTCGATCAATTACGAGATATGAAAGTGTGTCAATATCGATTATCAAACATATCTTTCATTCCACTATTAAATCAATATAAGTTGAAAACTCATTTTCGACTTATAAGTACTACTTGGCCAAGAATTTCGTTATCGAGTTAATTGAATGAAATGTAGATCATAATCTCTTATTGTCTAAGAGTGACGAATCCTCTATTGATCATTCACAATCTCCATACGATTCTTTACATATCCGAACGATGCCATATTAGCAGCCATTGGCAGAGCAACATCCAACATTGTGAACGCATGCCTGTTCTCATATAAGGCACTATGATGACATCAAGTCAAGGGAGCAATTCTACTACCGAATGTTAGAGATTAACCACTAACACTCAGATTGTTATCCATGTGGAATCTCTCAGCGGGTCTCCAATATTTTGTTCTACAACAAAACATTCGTATGTTCATTAATGTCACCACACTTTATCTTGTGAGATCAATTATTTACTTCAAAAGTAAAAAATATCACACGTGATGGTCTATTCGTAATAACGATATCTATATCTCGTTATTATTTAGGATCATAGACGATTTAAGATTCAATCATATGTAATTTGTATCTCACAATCACAACTCCTCGCATTTAACAAATTATGCAGATTCGAATCTACAAACTCTATTATTTAATTTAACTGAATATTAATTAAATGATAGATTTACCATAAAATTGTATCAATTATACATTAAAAGTATTTATGTCCAAGGTTGATTGGATTTAGGGCATAAAACTTATAGTAGCGTCACGTCAACTTCCTATTACAGATATCTCATGCATAGTCTGCATCAGTAATCAGTATAACCAGGGGTGGAGTCAGAAAATGATGTTAGAATATGCTGAAATTTAACATTTTTTTGAATGAACTTACACTACAAGAAATCGAGTTTCAGTGGCTATTTTCGTGACATTTACGATAAAAAGTATACGACACTCAATGAAATAAAAAAAAAAGTTTAGATATCTCGCATTAAGATATTCCACTAATTTTTGTATTTTTTTTACCAAATAGAAAATCGATGCTTACCTTAAAAAATATAAACTCACTGAATCATGATAGAATTAAGCAAAAATAAATATCCACCAATGAATATGTAAAAAATTACTTAATGAGTACTCTTCTAGAAATTTTGACGATCATCTTTCCAAACAACTGAACGTTTTAAAAAAATATTCTTTTTATTATTGATATAGACTACTTTATAAATAAATAAGTTTTAACACATTCTTTTTATTGTCAATATCGAATCTATAGTAAGTTATTTATTTTGATCATAACATCTACTTTATAGTCAAAATAAGTAATTTTTTTAATATAAATATGAATTAGTAATGAATGAAAACATATGTAATTTAGAAAAATACATAATGTCTCTAACTATTAGAATAAGTAATATACTTTTAGATCTAATCAACACAAATTATCTATAATAAAATTTTCTTAATAATTATAAGCAAATTTTAGTCAAGCATGCATTAAATAGAATATCTAATTTGACAATAAAATATTCATATTTCAAGAATGTCATCAAAAGAGTAATTAATAATTGTAATGTCTTTTATAAAATTTAAATAATTAAGCATTGAACTTGGGTTGAGATTTAAATTAGAGTTAGGCAAATGCTAACATTTGGGCCACAAGTGTAAAATCTTTAGGGAAAAAAATCATATTTCAGGTGTATTCTTTACACCATTTCAAAATTTAGGTATAAAGAATTCATGTATATATTTAGTTAATTAAAATATTTATTAAATAAATCTAATAAAATCACAGTTAGATGATTAATTGTCACAGATTCATATTTATAGGTCACATATTCATTAACTGGTCACATGTCATCAAATTAGTTGGTTACAAGTCAAAAAATTTGTTGGTCACATATTATTTCAAAAATTATTTCGAGGCCACAAATAATTCAAATTGCAGGTCACATTTCACATTTTATCTATGGGTCACATGAACACAATTTCTTGGTCACAAATAAGCCAAATGGTCACAGACGCCTACCAATGAAATAATAGAGAAAATGTGACCTAAATCCAATTCCTATGACTGTGAGCATACTGAGTTTTTTTCAAGCTGATGCTAGTTATCTCGTACACAAACTTTTTCCATTTAAAAAAATTCAGTAGAAAGAAGAAAAGAGAAGCTTGGCATTATGCTCTTTGTGTTTTAACTAGTGCTTTTTTTCCCCCCATTTCATGATTGATACGTTTGACCAACACATTACAATCCTAGAAATTTTGAAGGATAAGTGGTTTAAGAAAGACTATAAACCACCAATATTTGATGAGAAAGAAGATACAAATTTGAACGATGTGGAAGCTGTATTTAAAGATTCTGAGGTGAATTTGCGGAGAAAATGGAACTATTAATTACCGACTATCTGAGATTAATAAAAAAATTTGTTGAAAAATATTCAATGGACTGCACATCTATTACCTACTACAGGAATATCTCGTGACAGAGAAAAAGGAGCAGCTGCCAGGAGCCATAAATGCATTTGAGTTGATTTCTATGTCGAAAGGTCTCAAACCTTGGTAATCTGTTTGGAAACCAGATTGGGAATCAAACACTGCCCAAACCAACAGATCGGAAACCAGATTTCATCTTCAACTTTACTTCTAGGGCTTGGATTGTTCCCTATATATATTTGGCTCTTCTCTACAATTTAATGGGTTGTTTAATCTCATTATAAGTTAGACAAATTACAAACACAAAATTTTTGTATTCTTTTTCCATATTATAATAAAATCTCCATTCTCTGCAATTTATTTTATGCTAGTGTCTCGTGATCAACTACTTCATACTGTGGCGTAATCTCTTATTTTCTCCAATAATTTTGTATTGGATTAATCTGATATCATCTTCAAATTTTTACAACAAAATGGTTTCAGAATTGTTTTGCCTTCAACAAAGTATTTTCAGATTCGATATGAATTATGGCAATTCCAAAAACTATATATGCAGATCCCCACATACATGGTGAATTCAATGATTATAGCCATGGTAGCTCATGCAAATCAACCAAATGAGACCATATACCATGTTGGATCTTCTTTATCAAACCCTATGACATGTACAATGTTTCAAGAATATGGCCACCAATACATCACCAAGCACCCCAAGATCGACAAGAAAGGCAAACCTGTCATGGTTGGCAAGGTCAAAGTGCTCATACAATAGATAGTTTCCAATCATGCATGAAGATTTGCTACTTGCTCCAATTGAAGGTTAGTTCGTTCAACCAATGTACTATTTGTTTCGAAAAAATCAAGAATAGACAACAAAAAATTAAAAAGTAGAACACAAGTTTTATGTAAAAACCCAAGACGGTAAAAAACTATGGGCAGGGAGGAGAAATTCACTATATCGAAGATGATTACAAGAGATACAGCTACACAAAATGATATGATGTTATGAAACCCTAATATATATCATATATATAATAAAACATGTACATTCCCTCTGCTACCACCACATTCCCCCATTTTTTTTCTAATAATCTTAGTTTTTCCATCATACTGTGAGGTTCTTGGACCGGACCAAACATAATTTGGGTCATCGTACTCTGACGCTACTTATTTTATGTTTTAACCCTCCTCCTTTACATGGACTTGGCTAGTGGGAGTTTACTTTAGTAATCATCTGTACGGACATTTGAATATATCCAATTTTTGTTTTTTGTTGCCCTTCGGGGATTGCAAATAATGAATGCAGCATGTTGCCAATACTTCCGGGGTATCTTAATATGTGCAGAAAGATCAAATACGTTACGAGGCTGATTGATCTTTATCGACCTTATTTGTTCTTCAAAGGCGGATAAGTATCTTCCATTTCAATTTCCTTATCGTGAAAAACGGTTGTTTTACAACAGATGTGCATGTGAGCGCATTAACTAAAACACGAACCTTGTTTTCCTTCTGTATCTTTGATGACATAAACACGGAAAAACTGCGAAGGGCAGCAGAAGAAAGCAACATTGAGACAGATATGTTCTACTTTGATCCCAAAACCATTAAGTGGAATGACCATTTCATGAGCATTCACTTTCCAGTAATAGTAAAATACTTATTCACATAAATTCAAGTTGTAACGAGTGCCATACGGACATTTTTAATTAAGTTCATATTTTATTTATTTTAATTATATATATATATATATTTTAACTTTGTTGACAAAAACCAGTTTAGCTGATCTTTATCCCAACCATTACAGGAATTCAATGATCCTAAACATGATTAAAGACGATAGGCATGAAATTTGTCACTTGTCCAATTCAATGTTTGAACTAAACGAGTTATCTTTTGGTGACAGTCACAAATGTATTATTAACTCAAAACAGTCAAAGAAAATAAACAGTAAATTGCTTAGTATGTTGAAAGGCAAATTATACAACTGCTGAATAATAAAATATTCGGCAGTAAAAAAAGGTTTAAAATAGTTAGAAACCGAACAATCTAAGTAACATTTAGCAGCCTTGTCATCATCAGCATCTTCCTTCCTATCCTCAGCAAAACAGATTAAAAACAGACAGCTCGAATCTTTTATAGATGGATTTTCAGTTCAATAAATATACCAGAATGAAGGTTCTTTCTGATTTCAACTTCTGAGAAACATTCAAAATAGATTGATTCCCATACAAAATTCTGGCTCAAGAGGATCAAGGACAAGTAATTTCTTTTGCACCAGAAACTTGTGGGCAACTTTTATCTAATTTTCTGAAATGCCTTGCCGGGTGATGCAAAGCCAGCTTTTCAGAGACTCGTCGCTTGCTTCGCCTGATAGGGGCACATGCCATGAACCATTCCCAGATTCCTGAAACCAGCGTTCGAAAAAGATAAATTAATTAAGGATGAGCGTCAGAATGATATAGAATTGGCAGTTGAGCTTCAATCAGAATAGCATAAACTTTTACATGATTAACATTAAATTTCTCCTAAGCTGATCGTTTATTTTCTCATCTATAACTGAATACAGATCACTAAATTATCAATGGAAAAAATCATGCTCGACTCTTCACTAAAGTAGTTTTTCAGAAAAGAATATCTGATTCTAGTAGAATATGCACCTTCCAATCTATCATCATTACTCAAATTTTTTATGCAACTTATTTGGATATCATTATATTAAGGGGCTGTGTGATGTTTGCTAAAAGTAGATAAAATCTTGTGGGTCCCATGAAATGTTTAATGAAAAATGGATCAAAGTTTGTGGATCCAAGGAAACGTGTGAAAAAATGAAGTTTGACCATCATTTTAGCAAACAAAAGCTTTACCAAACAAGCACCAAGGGGTTTATGGATTTCTCCATGCTCCCGAGTTCTCTTTGAGCATATGCACTTGTCATGGACCAATGAATATATGTCATACAAAAAAAAAAATAAAAAAAATGGACCAACGAATATATGACTAAAGATACAAGTATTCTACAGAAACAATAATAGAACTTTCTTCCCTGGAAACAACAATAATAGAACTTGCATGAGGAATAAAATGCAAAAAGCTAAGTATGACAGATCCAGGCAACAATTATGAGATGGGACCACACATGTAACAGTACTTCTGAGTACTAGGAAAGAGCCTAGGCTGTCTAAACGGTCCTCTAAAGTTGCAGATGGACCATAAGTCGGAGACAAGGACTTCATGCATCTAAGTACAGTTATGGCGTAGAAGATGAGCTAATTAAAAGACTTCAGACACCCAAATATCGTTCTACCATTTCGAAAACTGCATTTATAAGACAAATCCCAAGAATCGATAGAAAAATGAGGAAATTAACACCTTTTTTGATATGCAACTGGTCAAACTTCAACTTTTACCACATTTCATAGTACCCACTTCATCAACTTTTCAGCTACACATCATCAAATTTTATCAAACCTACTACTACTATTAAAAGCTTCATCACACAGGCCTTAAACTTGCTTCACGCATATTTGGAGGAAAGGATTTCAAAAGGGGATAAAAGTTGATGTGTCAATTACTTAATATATCTAAGGTATTCCTACCTAACTAGATCCAAGGAAGGGAACCAGGTGAATTTCAGACAGCTGGAGTATTGCTTTCAATAGGGACCTTTATGACTATAAATAAATGCTAGTAAAAAAGAACAGAAAATTATCTAATCTATGTTCCAAATCAAAACTTCTGAAAAGGATCTTTTACGAAAGAAGTCTAGGTCGTAGATAAAAATTATTCATAATGCATATTTGATATGTTTAAATATGAAAATGGACTTCTCTCCAAAAGATTTTAAAAGAAGTACGAGAAGGAGCTAACAAACAAAGGCGACAATAAAACCTCTTTGAAGCTAAAATTAGAGGGAAAGAACCAAAAGAGCATATTTCCAGTCTTCTGAAAAATCACTGCTTAGATAAGGTTGAAGCTTTCAACATTGCTCATTCCCTAAAATAAAGTTGGGAGTAGGGGAGACATCGTATTTTAACTTTGTAAAGGCTCATTTTCATATTTTTATCCACTGTCAAAAGAATTGGTCAAGAAAGGAAAGCAACATTGTCCCCAAAGCTAGAAAGGAGAGTGGGAGCAGAATAGCATTGGAGAAGTAAAAATATACCTGCATGACGAAAGAATATGATGGTGGCATCAGGAGAGTCAGATTATTTTTTATGAACGTATATTTAACCTGCAAGTTAAATAAACCACGTTAGTGCAAAAATCAGAAAAAGTTTCATATTGTCAAATGCAAGATTACCAGCATCAGACAAATATTCAACATATGACCCTTAATTTTATCACATCTTCATTGTACTTGAAGTCTGAGAGGACAAAAGTATTATTCTAGGACAAAAGTATTATTCTAATAAATATTCATTAATACAGACAAGGCTAGAAAACTCAATCCACTATTTCCTAAGGATGAGACTTGCGTTCTATACAGTGTACAAGATTTGGAGATCTCAAATTCCGGCATGGCTGGAACACACAAACAAAGGAGTCAAAATGTCAAATAGGGCAAAGCAGTTAATACGCATGCATTACAAATTATATATATCAGAAACTAGGAAACTTTTGTAGCAAGACTTGATAACTAAGCCACAGAACAGTCTGGATCCCCACCGAGGACAACTGATAAATACTCATAATCTAGCCAACATTAAAGTCTCAATAGCAGATCAAAACCAAATGTGCAGGAACTAGAGGATGTTAACTGGTTTAGGAGCAATAATGTATAATTGATGATGGATTGACTTGATATAAAATTGCAAATCTTGATTTTTCAATTGATACTATGTAAGATGGTTGGAGGAAATAAAGACTTTAAATTCAAGTTAAGCAACTAATTGGGCGTGATATAACTTCCACACTGCAGACACCACATGGTCATTAGGATATTAATTACCTGGTTCTGGAGCAATAATTTATAAGTAATCATACACGAACCATCAATTATAGTAAGTAATGACCTAGAAAGTATTGATAACAATTCTCTAAGCATAATCTTCCAGTTGAATTTTGTTTTGCAGTACTGCAGGAATATAATATTCTGCTTTAGATTTAGATATGACCAATGTATGTAACCTTCTATTTTTCAATCTAGAGCTGCAAAGTGTGATGACCCCATCTTCCACCGGTCATGGAGGGATAATGTGATTGATTTATAAAACCTTGTATAACTCCTACTAACCACCATGACGTTCAGTATTTTGAAGTACCAAATTATATTCAGGGCAAGGTTTGACCCGGGTCTGTTATGGTTGGTAACAAAGCCACCCTTGCGGTGCTATCCATTTAGATAAGCCTAAACTTGTCGCATACTATTCTGAGTAGGAAGTTATAGCCTTGTCGTAGGATAGCGTGACCAGTCTATAAGAATTTAGGTAACTCCTACTTGCAACTTGTAAAAGAAGCTTAAGCATTTTAGCCAGTTAAATAGTGCTCAACTACATTGACAGGGGGCACAGGGCCATGGTAACTGACTCAGGTTCTTAAGTATTCTGAAGACCTTTGAAAAGAAGTGGATAATTTACGTACTTCGGCTGTTGCGTGCGTACCCCTTTTCTAAGCATGCAACATAAAGATTCCATGAGTAGTTTACACTGCATACGATCTGATCTTTCTGTTTAGAAGGTAGTTAGCCCTGTTTCTTGTTCATTTTACTTGATGTCATGTTATAGAGGAGAGAATTTCTAGCCATCTCAAAAGAATTCTAATTACACCTGCCTAGCAAATAAAAAATAAATGTTCTACTACAATAAATTCTACAAGGAATAAATAGAATTTATACTTCTATTTATAATCACATCGGATTATAAACAGGAGTAACAAACTAGTCCATGAAACAAGGAAAAGGAAAACTAAGAAAATTCTACCTGGTGCCTTTCTTTCCATCTGAGGAAAAAACTGCTCCCTATGAGCTCAAAAATGTGATCTCTCATTTCGTCATTTGTCACTAGCAAGCACTTGAGTTTCACAGCTGCATAAAGCCAATACCTAAATAAAGAAAATAATTATTATAGATATGGCTAATTAAAAGCATCTGGCAAAAATGTAAAGAACCAAAATTAAAAAAGGTATATGACAAGACGTCATATGAATCTACATCTGAGAAAGGGAGTTCCACTCACTGAATTATAAATACTACCAATAAAGTAAAAGAGTTTGCAAGTGATGAAATAGTGGATTGATCGACTAAAATTAGGGAATATTTAACATGGATGGAACTAGACCAAAAACAAAGATAAAAAAGTATTATTAGATTATACCAAGATATCTGTACAAAAAGGACAAAGATACATAATCATCACGAGTTAAATGCTTACCAATCATCATTTGATCCATATGGTGTACCATACAGAATTCTTTTATCTATCCAATCCTGAACCAGTTCTCTTATAGAAGAATTCTCAAGAAGTGCTCGTACTCGCTTATTGTGTAAAACAATTAGTGGCCATCTTTTGCTCTTATTATACAGTTCTTTAACAACTGCCTCAAGCTGCTCTATAGCGATTTGGGAATAGATTATAATGAGTCTCGGAATCACCAATCAAACAACTACAGAGTAAAGACAAAAAATAACATTTTCAAATTTTACAACCTGTGAAACGCTGAAGCCACCCTCTGCGAAGTTTTGCTGGTATAGACCAATATTTGCTCCATCAACCACGGCTTCATATTCAGAATTTTGTTGTATCCAATCCTTCAAGATGTGTTTGGCAAATATCAGAAATAAAGCACATTGGAACAGGTTTTATCATGTTTCTATGATATCTATCTAGGGTAAATGAAATTATAAGGTTAGCATCATTATTAATTCAAATTGTCAAAACTCATACTGTCTTTGAAAATCATCCTGAGAGCTTTCAAAAGATTGAAAAATAATAGTTTTGCAGATTATACAGAAGACATTGAAGAATATTCTTCCAACCTGAAATTCCTTGAAATTGGACTGGACTTCCCTTTCCATTGCTAAAGAAGCAACTGATTGAGCAAACTTCTCAGTCTCAGCTCTATCAATGTCAACACATGTCAACTGCTGATCACACGCACAGCACCTTCCATCTGAGGCCACACTAGATCTTTGTATGATCCACTTACCTGTCCCAAGCCACCCAAGCCCATGCCACCCTCCTCCATTTGTCAGAATTGCTTCCTTCACCTCATCTTCATCCCAGTTAACCAAACCCACCATAGCAGCCTTTTCGCCGTTAAACCAACTTTCTATAATTTCTGCTGTTGACCCATTAACGCCCCTTACTGCTGCTCTCAGCTTGTGCAAATACTCATAAACCTTCTTCTCCCTTCCTGACTCCGCACTCACCTTAAAAAAATATACAACGTGTTATTACAGAAATAGGCATGCTCATCTCTTTCTTCCACTGAGATCATATAAGAAAAAAATTAAACATTGATAATTGATAGCACCGGAGAATTTCAACTACCAGAGGAAGAACATTGTAGAGTTCAAAATACACCTTGTCCCTATTGTATGAAGCCTCAAAGGTTGTAACGTGAATCTTTTAATTAATGAATATTAAAAAGTTTATATCTTTTAAATCTTACTTAGATTGAGATTGAAAATATACATCATCATCAATTGAAAGATAAACGAACCCAAAAGTAATAATGAAAACAAGTCAAATTCAATCCATAAAGTAACTTAAACAATCGATGGACTAAAACATGTTGAATAATTCATTCCATTTAACTAAGCATAATTGCATTTCATACTTTCTATAGAAACTATAATGCCAGAACAAATTTACAAATCTCAAGCCTTTTCAGGACAAGCCAAAAGCAGAGCATTTTTAATTCTAGCAAACCAAAGGTAAAACTTTTGAAGCAATAACTACACAACACCAATGCAGTACCTAAGTTACTTAAAACACTAATCCTTCTACCCAAAATCCTACATTCACAAAAACGAAATTATAAAAATATGCATATGAAAAATGCAAACGATACAAGCAGGCTAACACCAAAAGCTCTCACCTTTAACAACGCTGCAAGCTCAGGCTCCTCCAGCTGCAGCCCCACAGATTTTATATGTTCTTCCACTTCATACGCCTTATCCGCCATCCCATTATCAGAAAAGCAGAAAAGTGCCGGCCCATAAGTCCTGAGCTTCGGCGCGAGCGCATATTTCTTTACACTCTTCGAAAGTTCAAATGCATAGTCGCCATCGCCCTTGGCTGAGGCCAGCCGAGCAACGGCTGTGAGTGTGGCCTCATTTGGCTTGAAAATACTGGAATTTTTACTTTTATGGAGGTCGAAGAGCTTGAACCCGAATTCGATAGCGAGCTCTCGAGTTTCCAGATTGGATAAAGAGTTTGAGCAGATATACAAGAGGGAGTTGAGGTTGTTCAGGGAAAGTGTAGGATTGGGGGAGGACTCGTAGAGGGAGATGGCGGCGGAGAGGTCTTTGGTTTTCGAGCAATGATCAAGCGTAAAGCGAAACTCGGCTTCTGGATTCAGCTTTTGCCTCTTTTTCTTCTTGTTCTCAGAATTCATGCTGGTGGCAATTTTGAGGCGGACGGTGGCGTAGGGCTGTCGGGCTGTGACGTGAGGAGAAACCCTATAAGAAGTGATTGCCCCCGCTCCCAACAAAAAAAAAAATAAAAAAAAAATAAAAAAAAATAAAAATAATAATAATAAATTTTGATTACAATGAGGGAATAGTGTTTTTTTTAAAGAGGATAATTGTAAAAAAAATAATTTTTTTTTTAATTTACGTGTATATTATTTTATTGAAAATTGTGTGATTTGAAATAAGAAGTGCCAAACAGGGCCTTAATTTGATGGGATTTAGTGGGGTCCAAACGAGTATTAAAGTTGGATTGTATTAAAATGGGCAGGGCTGATCGAAATCGGCCATCCATGTTAAGACCCCAATAGGCCAACACTATCATTGAATTGGCCGTACACAACCAAAATTTTTAAGATTCAATCTCAAAAATCAGATTTATAATATTTTTATAGAAAAATCAGATGAGAATATATTATTATTAATATTTATAATAATAATTTAAATTTTTAATTATTTTACATATCCACCCATCATCATCTATCCTTCCCTTATCTTTTCCTCTTCATTCTCCCTCTATGGACTGTCGAAATCGTCGTCGTCGACGACCACCTCCAAGCTCGCACGCAAAGCATGGACCACCACCATGTGCTGCTATTGTATCCCGTCTCTCTTTGTCGTGTCTCGTCTCTCTCTCTCTCTCTCTTTTGTCTCTTTATTCGTCACTTCATCTCTCTCTCCGTTGCACATCGTACATCGTCGCTTCGTCTCTCTTCAATGTGCTTACAAAGAAGCACGATGCACTGATTTGAGCGTCGCACACAGCGGCACATTCAGATTGTCGATGCGATGCTCGTGTAAAGTACTTGGATTTGATTTTCGTAAGGCTTGCTCCCTTTAGATGACCTTGTGGTGATTGCCATTGCAGTCGCTACCATAGATGATGCCATTGCACTTGAGCACTTTAGATTGTGGTAGTGGTGTTCACTTGGCATTGCTTGCTTGAAAGAAATTATTTTTGGGTTTTGTCGTGACGATGGTGCAATGGTTGTGAGTGGTATGGGGTAGATATGGGGTGTGTTTGTGACTAATTATTTTAGTTCGTTGTGATCTATAAAATTGATTAATTTATAAATAATACATAGTATGTGACTTAAAATGTATGATCGAGGCTCACAATTTATTTTTCTTGTAATCAAGACGTAACTTGTGACCAATTAATTTGATAATTTGTGATTATAAAATAAGTTGTAACATACAAGACTTGTGATTTGGAACCAATAAATAAATTGTAACTTATAAAAAGTTTTTATTTGTGATCAAAAAATAAATTGTGATCTATAATTTTTTTTGATTTGTGATCATGAAATATCTTATAACGTATAAAATTTTTGATTTATAATAGAGAAATAATTTGTAACCAATTAATTCAATTTTTTGTGATCAAATTTTATAGAATTGTGACTTTAATATATTTAATTAATAAAATATATTTTTAATTAAATATTTTATAAATAAAATTTAATAAAATTTAATTTTTGAAGTTTTAAAATTTGTTTCTTAGTTTTGAAATGAGTTATTGTTAATCCTTTATATATGAAATTTTCCGTGTAAAAAATTGTACAAGCTCATGGAATGCCCATTGACCCGAAATTTTTTGGGTGGTTCGGACCAAACCTAAAAAAAAGTGACCAAACACTTCTTTAAGACTATCAAATGACAAACATAGCACCTGTTTGGCCCCATTAAATTATTATTCATTTTTTTATCTTTTCTTATCAATCACACATTTTTCAATAAAATAATAATACATACAAATTCAAATTTTTTTATTTTTTTTAACTACACATTTTTTAAAAATTTATTATTTACAAAATCAAACTATCATTATAACGTGAGAGTATGAAAATCAAACAAAGAATTTTTTTTTTTTTTTTTTAACGAGGTGTCCCAGCTTGCGCCAGACTATATATCCTCGTCCCTGAACCTCCGACCCCTCAGCTGCTCAGAGAAGTAAATCGCAGGATGTGCCCTTGTTGAAACAAAGACTTAATTTGAGGCTAAGGCTGTCAGGTGATAGCCTACAATCTGCTTTAAAGAAGGCAAAGGCAAAAATCTGCATTCTTGAAGGCAGAAATTAATTTATTTTTAAATATGAATGATTTTTTATTTTTTTGACATTGACGGCCTCGACGTTAGGACCGAATTTAATATTTACTTATCTGTGAACCGGCCTATTTGAGATGCGTACAGGTTTACGATTCAATTTTACATGCCCAATTCTGAGCGGCCACCCTTTCGATTTGACACTCTACTAAACTATTTTGATATTAAAACTAATATTTTGTTGTCTATGCGACAAGTGCTTCGGGCCAAGTATTTTTCAATTTTTAATAGATAAAACAAACCTAATTACATTTTTTTTTTTTATAATCTTCGATAAATAAGAAGAAAAATACAATTTTCGTTAACATTGTATTCTAAACGTCCAGAATCATGTGTTCAACTTTCGCATCTTTCTATTTTTGTTCTGAGACCATCTTTAATCCTACACCAAAATTTGCACAATTTTATATCAGATCTTGTACTAAACTAAAAATAATTTCCAACTCATTACACCAAAAATTGCACGAAATGAACAATGTTTAATAATTTTCTTCATTTTGTATTCTTAACAATTCATATGGCCGAAATTATTTATTTATTTAATTTACTACTACATAAATTACTTCATAAATAATTATGTTTTGTTTATGAAAATATTAAATTCGTTAATAAATTTTAAAAAGGTAGTATAATTAATAAAAATACCACAAATACGAAAATATTAAATCATGTTATTAAAAAATAATGTAGTACATTTTGAATCCCGATATTATGATAGGACAAAATCAACATAGTGTCGTAATTTAATTATCGAAATTTATATATTCATCCCACAAATGTTCAATTTAATGCAATTCAAAGTGCAATATGAGCATATTTTTATCGTTGATTTGTCTATGACTAGCAATTAAAGTATGCTTGCAAATATTACGTTAACCTAACACTACATTGTCTTTGTTTCGAAGATGTTTCAAGCCAAAATGCTATTATGTGAAGACCCAACTTCAAGGGTTCAAATTTGACCATATATGGCCTATGCTTAAAGATGTCAAAAACTATGGTGATGACAATAACATGGCTAAAGCAAAGTGGGGTTAACATTGCATCATTACAACCAGATTCGTCGACATCGAAAGATAGTACATCAACACAATCAAAATTCCCTGGATTATCTTCGTTTTCTCTATATATAACGAAGATAATGTTGACGAGACTTCTACTGTTGTAGTTTCGCTTTAATTTTAAATAATTATGTTTGTTGCATTTTATTGAATTCATTCCTCGATCATAATTGATTATGAGATAAAAGTTTATTACAAATAATAATAATAATAATAATAATAATAATAATAATAATAATAATAATAATAATAATAATGCAAGTAGTAGTAGTAGTTAATTACTTAATTAAGAATTCAAATTTATGTATAATGTAAAATGACACATATACTTTGATATCATTTAGTGCTAAATGAAAAAAATGGGTAAAAGATTTTTTTATGCAAAATGGTACAAGCGAATTGTGTTGCACTAACACCATTTACTTGCACCATTTTTGTGCAAAATGGTGCACAATTTAGTATTGGATTGGAGTGACATTGCACCAAATATTTGGCGAAAAATGGGGGAAAATGGTGTTTTGGTGTTAGGGTTGGAGTTTTCTTGAGGATTCATGATGGTGACAGTTTTGTGGCGGAGTGGTGGCGTGGGGCTGTCGAGCTTTGACGCAGAGAGAGATAATTGAGGATAAACCCTGTTTGCACTAATTAATAAACAACTCTATTGTTTGTAAATTGTTATACTATGAACTCGGTATCTAAAGTTGGATATATTACATCAAGAAAAGTTTTTAGACAATTTTGAAATTAAAACTAATATTTTGGTCGGCTATTTTGATATTTTTAATAGATGATACATATATAATCACAAAAATATAATATTTTGCAATCTTTGGCAGATAATTAAAAAAAAAAAAAAGGACAATTTTTATTAACATTGTACTCTAAAAGTCTAGGATCACGGGTTCAGCTTTTGCTTCTTTCTCTTCTTATTCTGTGGATTCATGGTTGTGGCAATTTTGAGACGGAGGGGTGGCACAGGGCGTCGGGCTATTACACGGATAGTGATAATTGAGAATAAACGCTGTTTGCACTAATTAGCAGACAACTCAATTGCTTGTAAGTTGTTATACTATGAGATTGTTATCTAAGGTTGGATATATCATGTCAATAAATTTTTTCTAAGCTATTTTGAAATTAAAATTAAAATTTTGCGTCTGATCGAGCATTTTGCAATCTTTGATAGATAATACACACCTAATCACAAAAATATTAATTTTTTTGCAGCAATCTTTGATAGATAATACGCACGTAATCACAAAAATATTAATTTTTTTGCAATCTTTGATAGATAAGAAGAAAAATACGATTTTCATTAACATTGTATTCTAAAAGTCTAGTATCATAGGTTTAGTTTTTGCTTCTCTCTCTTCTTGTTCAAAGGATTCATGGAAGTGGTGATTTTGAGGCGAAGGGATGGCACGGGGCATCAAGATGTTAAGCAGATAGTGGTAATATAGGATAAATCTTATTTGCACTAATTAGTAAACAACTGTATTGTTTGTAAGTTGTTATACTATGAGATTGTTATTTAAGGTTGGATATGACATGTCAAGGAATATTTTCTCTCCTATTTTGAAACTAAAACTAGTATTTTGGTTGTCATGCGACAAGTACGTCTAGTCGAGTATTTTGCAATCTTTGATAGATAATACTAGCCTAATTACAATTTTATTTTATTTATTATTATTATTATTTTTGGGCTATATTCACATTAAGCTTCAGTTTTGATCTCTTTTGCGCTATATCTTGAAAAAACTCATATAAGAGATTACATATAAATT